TACCCTGTGTTTGTGCCGTGTGTGGGGTGTCATCCGTGCCAAGTGTCTCATCAGCTTTGCCGGCAAGAGGAGCAGTCGCCCTTGCCGGTCGCCGGGGGGGGGTCTGTCTCTTCGAAGCTAGACCAGAAAGTGGGACGCTGCCGAATGCTGAAAGAGAGACGCACACAACCACACTGGTGAAAGAAGGGGAGCAATATCTGGAATGCCTGCTGATGGGGCGACACGTACATACATCATGACCGATGCTGTCTCGAAGCCGTCGACGTGGCAGGGCTCCCCCCCGACTACCTTCAAGCCCAAGAAGCCCTTCATGCCTCGCCTGGTGCGATCGAACAAGCCAGACCATGTCATCGGCCCAGGCGCTATGCTGCAGGTATGCACGTGTATCCGCACACGACGAACATGCAAAAATCCCTGCACACAAAATACAAATCATTCCAACAATCCCTGCACACAAAATACAAATCATTCCAACGTGTCGCCCACTACATTATTAGCAAGATGTGTTACACTCTGAATCTGCCTCTTGTCTTGTAGCTTGCTGTCTCTTCCACAAGAACTATTATAATGAAGACGGCTGTTCGTATGCGTACTCTTCGTTATGACAGCTGAGATTTGTCGCCCGAAGGTTCATGTCCGCTGGACGTTTCGTCCCAGTGGTAGACACCGCCGTTATGTTTGGTCACCTCATCGTTGAGATTAATAATTGCGTACCCAAACGCGTTCGTAAATTCCTCCTGAAGCGCGGAAAGATCAAGGATGGTTGGGAAATACTTGCTCCAGTGCTGGGCCGCAGTCATTTCGATCCGTTTTTGTCCGGCTGTGTGTGTGTCTGTCTTCTCTGGTTTCATATTTGACGAGAGTCATGCGTGCATGCCGTGTTGCAGCGTTGCTGCTTTTTGTTTCCCCGTCGGCAAGTCTTCTTGTGGCCCCCGGCGTTATCCCTCGCCTTCTCCCCTCCCTTTCGAGTTGAACTGCTGTAAGATGCATGTACGTGGCCCACCACCTCCCTCTCTCTTTGGTCAGGATTACAACCAAAGTTTGCGCCACACGCAAGCTGACTACAAGTACTACTGTAGAGGGGAAAATGTGGTAGCACAGCCGTTGTCGCGGAAATACTTTTTCGTTGTGGGATGGGGAAGGGAGAGCAAGCCATTTACTTCGAGTATTTTTTTTTAACGGGCACAATTTACTCCTGGTGGCTGTTTGTTCGAGACACTGCACTGTGCGACTTGCTGCGCGTTCGCGCCCTAACTACTTGGGCAAGAGATCAGCACCGGATCGCAGTGTCGTAGCTTGAAAAACACACGCTGCCAATAGTATGGCAACAGCACCCAGCATAATCCGATGCGCTTCGAGCGGGGTGACATCCTGCGCAACACGGAGAAAAAAGAGAGGCTGCGACAATTGCGACACGGCGGTATATTGTGTTGCATTAGACTTCTGTTGCAGACTACGTAGAATAGATGTTCGTGTGTACAGTATTGTGCAATCTCGCAAAGATCGGGGTAACACCTCTGTGTGTAGGTACACACCCAGGAGCCGAGGAGTCGATGTGATACTCCTGTAGCAAAGGTTCGAAACTACGCACATACGCACATACCCCGCCGGACACATCACAACAGCGGCAGCAAGCCTCGCTACTTTTGTAGCTCTCAG